GTGTGTGTGTGTGTGTGTGTGTGTGTGTGAGTTTACTGGTGTCTATCCTTTTTGTTATACTGTTAAATATTGTAACATTTTATTCTGCTTTGTTTGAAGAAAAAAAAAACATATTTTAAATACTTACAGACACTGTCTGTTCATGTCTGAATCTGCTCAGGAGCATGAAGTGTACTATAATTGCAGCACAGTGACATCAGCTTCTTGTCTGCATGACWTTATCTGGATCAAAGTGTAAATGGCTTCAATGAGCAGAGCTTTTTATATTCACARCCTGTTGATGTTTTCAGTGTTTCCGTTTTGATGATGATTTTGAAACTTTCATCCACGAAGAAAACATTACAGTTTAGTCAGGTCCTCTGGACGGGTGGTGATTTGTTGAAATGTTTCGTCCCTACTCTGAGAGACTTCTTCAGTCTGGGTTTCTTGTCAGCTTTCAGGAAAACCCAGATGGAATAAGCACAGTGCAGTTGTGTGTGTGATTTCTGTCTACTCTGTTGTACAGAGTCCTGATGACTCCTAACTTGTGCGTGATGGGAAGCAAACCAAATCAGTTTCCAACTGTCCCCCATCCAAGCCTGAGACATTTTTTACATCATCTCATGTGAATTTACATATCTATCCACAGAGTTGATGTAATCAGTGAAATGTTGGACTTCCTGGAATTTATTTTAACCCAGGTGTCATCTACATACCTGCACCAATGTTGTCCCTGTAAAGGACATTCAATTCAATTCAATTCACTTCAATTCAATTCAAAAATACTTTATTGATCCCAGAGGGAATTTAGGTAACAGTTAAGTTACAGTTCAGAACACCCATTCAGAAGAAGAACAAACATAGGAGAACAGGTGCCCTGAGTCATGCTGCCACTGACCCTGCACAGAGCAAGGATCATCTTCATGAAGACATCATGAGGAGGCGCTACCCTTAACAGAAAAACTAAAAACCACACAAGGGAAGATGAGGAAAAAAAATCATTATATCAACAATGTGACCCACTATGGTGTTTATAAAAAAATACTCTGCATAGAGCAGATTTATTAGCCAGAGGAGTAAGTGAGTTTAGGGGGGCGTGTTTCTGAAGCCATGAGTGTTGTATGCACTTGTGTGAATATCTGAAGAATGAGCCCGAAGAATCCAGTCCCTAAACCAGTGCAGCCATAGTTCAGAATATTGATGTTAAGTGTTCATTCTGTGCGGCCTTCAGCTTGCTCCAGAAACCAGATCACAGACGGGTGAGAAGAAGGGGGGAAGGTGTGGGGCAGAGCCTCAGTCGACATCAGCATCCAGGATGAATTTAATCCAACAGCTTCAAGGCCGTTGTAGGGGAGAGACAAATCTGTAAACAGTTGTTTTGGGAACAGAAGAGTCAGGCAGACGATAACAATTTTCCATCTGCTTTAATATCTGCCGGCACATCTCAAGGTGGCGAATCCAATTCAGACAAACAGTGTGGACAATTCCGCCCATCTGATCTATCAGTTTTCTCCAAGATCAATTCCATCTGGCCAGCAAGTCCAGGGACCACAGCCGGCCCGCGGCCCTCAGCAGAACCGCTTGCAGACCGAGTCCAGCTTGCTCAAGGCAAATGTCCAAGTATTGATAGTACGGCCATCCATCAAATTGGTCAGTCAGCCAGGAAATGAACAGCCACCAACACTGTTTTGTAGAACACCAGGAGACCACCAAGCCAATCTGTAGAATCCAGTGATCAGAATCCAGTTATATATCCAGAACAGAGAAGAATAGAGGTCCCACCTTTGACATGTCCTCCCATGGAAGAAGAAAAAACTGTTCCAAAAAATTTATTAAGAGACCAGCTAACCAAATCCACAAAAATAAAAATATCCATAATTTCTGGTTTCAGATGAAAACAAAGACATCAAAGCTTTTTTTCTACCACCTCCATGTACAGGTTTGCAACAATAGGAGAAACTGGGGAGGCCATAGCACACCCATGTTTCTGCCTATAATCCTCATTTCTACCTTCTCCTCTCTGTCAACGCTCTCTGGTTTCATTTAAAAGAGTCGATCATCAGATATTGTCCAAGATTAACC